CAAAGGCTGGAGTTAGAAAGAAGACTGATGGAATACATAACATCTGATGCATACCTAAAGAAACTAAAATACACGTGTCTTGACCCGCTCATACCTGACAGAGGTTGGAGTCAAGGTGATTCGTTTTGATCGCAAAGGTGAAATTAAGACACAAACGGTGTCAGATGTCACAAAATCAAAATCCTTTATTGACTAACAACCACTGGAGAGCGATAGGAAGGAAAGATAAGGAAAAGGAAAAGCAAAGCAGTAAAAGTTCAAGATAGCAAGAAGTACAGCTACCAGCACAGATCCAGCGATGTCTCACAGGTCCGCCTGTTTTGATTCGGTGGGGAAGATCTCCACAGAACAGCTGATCACGGTGGCGTGTTCCAAGAGCCGCTTTGCCCATTCTCCGCCTGGTTAGCACATGCGTATGAGGGTCGTCAGGAGCGATCTTCACACTTCACAGCGTCGTCTCCATCAGCGGAGCATGCAGAGGTGTCCGGAGAGTCCATTTTCGCCTTGCAGGGCAGCTACCTTATCAGCAGTTACACCAATGGGCTTGCACACCGGTGGGCTTGCGAGACAGCTGCTGTATCGACAGTTGAGCCAGGTCCAGAAGTTGTTGTTCAGGACTTCAAGCCCCGTGGCTTATCTGGGCTGGGCCCTTCAGTTGTATCAGTAGTCAAGTCAACTCCTGTGGCTTATCTGGGCTGGGCTCTGAAGTTGTTGTTTGGGACTTATCAGTGGTCCAAGCTTGCAAACTGCAGCCTTGAAGTTTCTTCACGGGCAATTCCAACACAGTCTTTTCTTCGCGGGCAATTCCAGCAAGGTTGAGACAAACATTTTTAGCACAGTCTCTTACAGGCCATAAAGCCACTGGCACAGTATGACTGTCCTTTTCAGCCCATAGTCTGTCAGAACCAAAGAGCTAGTGCAAGCTCTTGTATTTGCTTGGTTTGGTTGTTAGAAAAAAAAGCGCTTTAGTGAAAGCTTCAACTTAAGCGATGATTCAGACGATGGCATGGTACAGAAAAGAAATTAAAAGCACGTTATCACTTCAAGAGGGTAACTTGTCAACAGAAGGTGACAAGGAAGAAGAATACGGCAAGCAGGTGCCACAGGTTGGAAGACAGGCAGGAATCAGCCTCACGACAGCCGTGCCAAGAGGACGGTATCACCCAGCAACAGTCTTTACAGGGCACCGCACATCAGCTATCTTGGCTTCTGGGGGTTTGGGTACGTAGCAGAAACCTCCCGAGCCCACAGAGAGTCGTCTGGCACCTGACTTGCCTCTGTGCTCTCCACCACTTGAAGGACTTGGTGCAGAGGGCAGAAGCGCTAGTTCAGAGAGCGATGGAGCAGCGAGACGAGGGGACCAGGTCAACAGTGAAGAAGGGTCCAAGCAGCTCATGTCCTCAGTGCCTGATCCTAAACCAGCCACCGAGGAGGAGGAACAGCTGCAGGGAAGCGTCCCAGGACCAAAGCCTTGCCTGAGGACTTATAAGAGGGTGAGCTGGGAGGGCAGCGATGAGCTCCGAGTCCTGGAGACTGCCGAGGAGGTGATGCTGAGCACTCCCAATGTGCTATCAGCTGGATGAGAGCGGGGCAGGGATGCCTGTGCTGTGGAGGGCTCCCCACCAGAACCACCAAACCCTCCTGCGGGGCAGGAGGAGCCGTCAGGTAGCCCAACACTGGCCAGGCACGGCGGGATGCCGGCGGGACTCTCCTCGGATGTGGTGGCAAGGATGAGGATGAGCCCTTGGCACCAGGTGCTCTACCAGGGCAAGCACATGGGGACAGCAGAGGCGATCAGCTTTTGTAATGGGGCCGTTGGTCTGGGAGAAGATGACCCTGAAGCATGTGAAGCGGTCGTCCTTCATCAGCTTTGGGCTTTATCACAGATCATGCTGAATGGCTGGCTCCTACCTGAGAAAACACTTGATGCTGAAAGTGGAGTGGTGGCTGAAGAGTAAACCTGGCCAGAGCAGCTGCAGAACGTGGACATGCTGTGGACTCACTTGAACAACCACGTCTTGTTCTTGAAAAGTAAATATTTTCATCTTAAGAAATAAAACTACATCTAGTGAGAACATTTATTACATTATATTTCTGCTATATTTCGGTTTTTGTATGCATTTGCATTTGCTTCGCTTCTAGATCTTGTATTGTCTGCATTACGGACATAAATGAAGAAATACTCACCTATATAAGGTATTCTTTTGTGTTTCCCACACTGAATTCAGATTAGTGCTTTTTCTGTAGTGCGCTTTGTCTTCCTTTCTGGTTTACTTTATGTATGGGACATGTCTCAGTTAACAGAGCTCAGTGGTCATTTGTATTTTCATACTTCCATTTACTAGGATGTGATCAAAACGTTTGAATTCATGTGGACAACAAAGATCATTCCCATGCCTTGTATCTGTTAATGAAACACTGCAGACCTCAAGAGAGTTATAATCATGCTGTTCTGTGAGAGGTTATAATTATTCTGTTGTATGAGAGGTTTATGTGCACATAAGAACAAAGAAAAAAAAGAAAAAATGTGATCTGATAACTTAAGATTGAAAAGAAGAAAAAATACACAGGCTTTTTAGAAGCAACAACTACAAATTATCAAGCACATCAGCAACTCCAGAAAGAACTTTCCAGAAGCCTGGAAAAACAGAGTCTGAAATGAAATGTTTAAGTGTTTTTAGCAGATGTGCCATGAGAAACAGAATTAAACTGACCTCACGGTTTAAGCTATTTGAACACGTGAATGGCAAATGTTTTGTCATATGTCTTTGTGCAAGCCATCAGTATAACTGATGTGTGTCTGTACATCATGCCGTGCTGTCTCTCCCCACAGGACTGTGTTCCTGAATGGTGTTTAAAATCAAGTTAGCGGTACACTACGTTGATCCTGAGAGGAGCCTGAATTCAGGATGAGACTACCCCTTCTTGGCTGGCAGAGATAAAATGGATGTACAAAACAAATCCCGAGACATTTCTTAAGTGACAGAGTCAAATGGAATTGAGCCCAGCTTTTTCCAGGATAATTGTCTTCTCCTATAAGGTGACATTTAGTCTTCACTCGAACTTTTGTTAGTGTGTCAGATTGCAAGAGATTGTATGAACATTTTGTCCCCGAGGCAAAAATCACACCCAACACTTCCCTAACATAAGGTAATTAATTAATGAACTGCTCTTCATCAGAAGAATCTCTCTGGCTGTTTTGTATAATAAAAGCTGGATTCATATTTATCAGAAACCGCTCTGGAACAGCTACGAACTTTCCTAAGCCCACTGTATCAGTCATGACAGAGGAGGGATCACGTCCTGGTGGAACTCATGATCTCAAGCGATATAGGCCAGGTAAAAATTCTAGACATGTCCCTGAACCTTAGGAAAGTTAACTTTTAGTTGTTTAAAGAACTAGTGGATGGGTTCCCCAGGAATTTGCCCTCACAGACCCAGAAGAGAGCTGTCAGTTACTTAAAAGTATTTTTCTTAAAATGCAAGAATTCTTAATTCCCATCTTCAAGAAATAAGGTAAAGAGAGCAGAAGACTAGTGTGGCCAAGTAACGGCCTTCTGGTGAAACTGAACTACAACAGGGAAATTCATAAGCAGTGGAAGCAGGGACATGCATTCTAGGAGGAATATGGGATACTGCCTGTGAGTGTTAAGGATGGGATCGGGATAGATAAAGCTGGATCTAAATTTGCTATGGGATGTGAAAAATAGTAAGAAGGGCTTTTACGTGTATGTTAGTCTGACAGAAATTGTACCTTTGTGATAAATAAAACAGTAGATCTGATGACAACTAACATGGAGAAGGATGAGGGACTCAACAAAATTTTTCCTGATTTTCTACTGTCAGTTGCTCTCCATTCAAGTGAATGGACAACAAGGCAGGGACTGAGAGAATGAAGTTCTACCCATCATAGAAAATCAGGTTTGCGACCATCTGCGAAACCTGGATATACTTAAATTGGTGAGATCCAATAAGCTGCATCCCAGAGTCCTGAGGGAGCTGATTGCTGTAGTTGGCAAGCCACTCTCCATGATATTCGAAAAGTCGTAGCAGTCAGGAAAAGTTCCTGGTAACTGGAAAAAATGAAGCAATGTACCAGTTTTTAAAAAGTGTTGAAATGAGGACCCTGGGAACTACCGACCTGTAAGCCTCAGCTCTGTGCCTGTGAAGCTCATGGAACAGATCTTCCTAGAGGCCCTGCTAAGGCACATGGAAGACAGGGAGGTGAATCAAGACAGCCAGCATGGCTTCACCAAGGGTAAGTCCTGCCTGACCAACCTAGTGATCTTCTGTGATGGAATGACTACACCAGTGCACAAGGGAAGAGCTGTAGATGTCATCTCCCTGGACTTCTGTAAGGCCTTTGACAAAGTCCCCCACAGCAACACTTAAATGCAGCTTATAAGAATAACAGAGAGAGCCTTTCCCAAGGTCTGCTACAGATAAAAGTTTAAAACGAAGGAGGGTAGATTTAGATTAAATACAAAGAAGTAATTTTTTGTGAAGGTGGTGAAGCACTGGAACAGGTTGCCCAGAGACATTGTGGATGCCCCACCCCTGGAAGTGTTCAAGAAACCTCACATAGTGGAAGGCGACTCTGCCCATGGTTGAGGAGTTGGACTAGTTGATCTGTAAAGGTCCCTTCTGACCTGAATCATTCCATGATTCTATGACCATGCAGTTAACTTTCTTTGTGCCTGCCTTCCTTTGAGCTCTCATTCACATCTTTAGGGTTACCTCTGAAACTTCCTTTGAGGCACAGTCTCTGTCTTTTGATACTAACACTGAGCACTGTGTCCGGAGGGCTGTCTCGGAAGGGGCTTGGCAAGGGACTCATTAACCTGTCTGGAGGTTGGTGCATATGGCCAGCTTGACCGAATCACTGAGCTTACAAAGAAGAGTATGGTGTCACAGCACTGAGTTAAGTCATCTTCAGGGCATCTCTTCAATACAAACAGATCCTCAGCTGACACAACTGCTCCCACTTTCTTACTGTTTTTACTAGGAAGTTTGCTCCTATTTATGAAGCAATGACTTGGCATCATGAGTCCTATATTAAATTTCTTCTACCTCTGCAGACTTTTTTTGTGACCTTGGACAAACCTTTTAGGAAAAGATGTTTAATGGTATTGAACACTTACAGCTGTAAAGATGTACCGAGTGTTTTAAATGGGACACAGATATCTTTGAAAAAATTTCACAGAATACCAAATATCTTGTTTTCAAATTTTGCTTTTAGTTTTTTCATTCCTCAGTTGCTCATCAGTAGACAGGAGATAAGAACACTCTCCTGTCTCATGGGATAAAAATCCATCAGGTTTGTGATATTTTTTCTATATCCAGATAAGAAATATGAGATTGGAAAAATTTTAATATGGATGTTAGATGGACAGAGATGCATGTCATTCTTAATATCATTTGAAAAATCACAGATTACACTAGTACTTATTTTATCATAGTAGGACAACTTTGACATCTCTAAGCTGTGTATTTATCAAATAATAAAATTGCATAAAAAGAATCTTCCTGCTACACTAAACCCACTATTTATGGCAAGAGTTCTCAAAAAAACAGATGTATTCATATAGGTATACATATATACTAAATGGCATACCATAAAATCATGGGTATATAACAGAAATTACAGCTAAAATTATATCAGGAAGTGGTGGTAGCATCTACTAGCACAGGTCTAAGAACAAAACAACGAAATACAAATATCAGATTCTGTTGTTACAGAAAGGTTATTTACCTGATTAGATGTTTCTGTCTGTAGTTCTTTCCCTTGGCTTGGAGCGTGCTGAAGTGACAGATCAATATTTTCTTCTACCAAAGATTACAAATCCTTGTGACAGTGAAATCTGTATTCAAGAGATGACAACAAATACGTTTTTGCCTAATTGGTTCTAGTGCTGCTTGTGCATCTGCAGCATGCCTTTGCAATCATTATCTTTTCATGAGCAGAACTGAGCAACATGTGGAAAGTTTAGTGAAAACGGCTGCTTTCTCGGATAATAACATATCAGAGCATCTGAACTTGAAAGTAATGCCCTTTGATGTGGAAAGAATCATCTGTCTAAGTCTGTCATAATCATATCTCCATCCCTTTCGTTTACACTAAGTGCCCAACAGAAAGCTTCTCTTCCACTCACTGCACTTTATGCAATTGTTGGTCTTGCTGTTGTTTTGCTACTTAAGTGACATCTTAATACATATTTATTGACCAATCTTTGTGTGTGTTTGTGCCCATATGTTGTGTCATTCGGCAAAAGAAAAGTGAACCTATCTTGCATACTGATGTGTCATCCTGCAAGAGGGAGCAGAATTCACAAGAGTCTCTCTCCCTACCTGCATACAATTCCTTGCCAAAAGAAGTCCTGCAATTGGTCATTGATGGAGAATACAAGAAAAAGCAAAGAAAAAGTTCAGGGGACAGTTCAATTATAAGTTTCTGCCTACCTCAAAATATCGACTGAGTTGGCCAAATTTGCTGACTTGATCTAAAGCTAACCAAGAAAAAGTCCCAACAAAAAGATTAATTTTGTTTTGGATCAGTTAGGGATTTAGTGATCTCACAGGAGTA